TTATTAGCCTTTACTTATTAGACAATATCAATAGACAATCCTTCAGCTACAGCCTTTTTCTCGATCCACTCACCGATCTCTTAAACGAAAGCCCTTGTACACACTTTGATTGATTCGATTCACATCCATCTGGACTCAACAAACAAGTTTTTATTGTACCACAAGTTGTGAAATCAAAGGAAGCATTTATCTAGAATAAAATCTAGAATAATCTAGAATATTAATGTTTTCTGAAAACATACTTGAAAAACAACGACGAAGAAACCGATTAGCCTCAACATTTCTTGACTGCATTTCTTTTGCTGATTTGTCAAGGCTTTTAAACCGAGAGAAAGTTCAAAGTTGAGCGCTTATCACTTGCAAAATACGTGCAATTGCAAATTTTGCAAATGATCGCCGTCAGAATTATCTCCCCATAACCAGACTCTGCGAAAGAATTGCTCTTCATTGTTTGACAGTTGAAAGTTCAAATGGAAAGGAGAGAAAGTTTCGTGTGGTTTTCGGTGTTTTTATCGGTTGGTTTTTGGCTCTGCAGGATCCGGAATCTGTAGCAAGAATGTAGACAAAATCTGTAGCAAGAATACAGCCAAAATTGGGGCAAGGATTGATCTCGTGCTCGGCAGGCTTGTGTTGCCGCAAAGAGTAGCCCCCTATACCGGACGGGTGTGCTTGTTTGCAAGCCATTGTGCGCGCACACAAAGCACAGCCAATCACTTTACACTGTGATTTTTTTTCTTTTTTTCTTTAGATGGCATAAAAAGAAGAAATTGAGGTGTAAATTTGTACCCGGGGGTTTTCAGGATCGGGCAATCGATTGAAGCTAATCATTTTATTAAGTCTACCAATCCTCGGATGAGTAAGTAAAGTAAAGGCGCTCGAGTGAGTAAAGTTTAAAGATTTCAAAAGAAATCTTTCTCATTTTCAATAGGATTTCAAACTTTTAAGCATTTAAACTTAGTTTTAAAAGAAATTTCATCATTTCATCAATATTTCCAGCTACATTCTCGAAAGTGGCGAGCAAACAACCGAGGCTCTTTTCCCGTACTCGGAGGCTCAGAAATCGACTTGTAAAAACGTAAATTATATAGAAATTTTTCTAGATATTAGTCAAAACATTATCTGTTCCTTTGTTTCTTTGATTTAAAATACCTCAAAAGCTTTAGTACGCTCGAAAAGTCAAATTGTTGTCGGTGGCCTCTGTGTTGCCATTTGGTATGTACAAAGTGAAGCAGAACTTGATCGCCAATCGACCGATTGCGTTTGGTGAGCAAAATCGATCGTTAGTATCGTTAGTAGAAAACTCTTTAGTAAATAAACCTCTTTAGTAAATGGGTTTTCTAGCAACCCTTTGACAAAAAAACATTCGCATCTACTTTAAGTTTTCTCTCAAACAAACGCTCATATCTCGACACCAGTACGTTTGTTTCTACTCATTTAGGTATCAAATTAAAGCAGAGAGAATGCGCATTTTTTTTAGATATAACGCATATTTCTAGCATTAACCAGCGCTTAGAAAAATTGATTGAAAAGTGGCAAAAAAGCCGATCATTCTATTAGAGTTTTCATGGTAATAGTAAGTCCAAATGGTCAATAAAAGTCTCAGATATCAATTTTAAGTACAATATCTTTTGCCTAAATCTTAGGAATGCTTGTAAATGACGATTTCATGAACTATGAGTCTGGTGTTTTCGATACTCCGTGCACAGCAGCTGACGAGAATAATGGGCACGCGATGAGGGCGTTGGATATGGTTTGTTTAAGCTTAAATTATCATTTAATTTCAATTAAACCAAGAAAACATCAGAACAATCTATACAATAATCCCTATAATTTAAAAATAAAGTTTAAAATGTTTTCCAGGAGGAAAACCCCGTACTGGATTTTTCGAAATCAATGGGGCGCCGATTGGGGAGAAGCTGGATATATTCGGGTAAGTGAAAGAAGAAAATATCAATCTAAAATCCTTGCAAAAACCGGATTTTCATACCGTAATACCTGTAATAGCAGCGCCCTTTTTATTTTTACTAAATCATTTTTTTCTAAGCACCCATAATTTCTAAAAATACATTTTTGGTATCAAAGAAATAGCCCTGAATTTCAGCTTTCATTTGATAATTAAGCGCACACTGTAGCATAAAAGAGTGACGAGAAAAATGCGTTTAAAGTTAGACAACGCGACGCTCCGACAGTCATTATAGGGGGCACAACGAGTACGTAGTTTGAAAAAAACCATTTGTCTTCAAATCAAAAATCTAAGCACTAACAATTCTTAAATGATGTCCAACTAAGAGAAAAATGCAAAAGAATCGATTTCGACTTGTCAATTTTTGTTGATAGGTCGAGAAATTTTGTCTTTTGACCTAATCAATTCTCTAAAGATATCCCAGTTGCAATTATTCAAATTCCACTTTCCTGGGCCAATTTTTGCGTAGATTCCAAAAACACACTTTCAGCACGATTTGACGACGGTATTGCGATGAAAAGTGACTTTGAAAATTTCTAGGTTTCAACTTTGGTGTTCAGAAGGGCAAAAACCCTGAATAAAATAGAAAGGTAGAGAAAAACTGATACCATCGTGTAGAGCTCAACCTGAGCTTTCAGAATATATATAACACTTATGGGTTCTGTCGAGTACTTCTGTAGATATGGCGTATCAAAGTTGATGAACTCCATGGCCAGCACCGTTGATCGAAAGGTCCGTGAAAGGGCCGAATCTAAATTTGATTTAAACAGCTAAATTCAAAAGAACAAAAAACAACAAACAAAATTCAAACAAAAACAAATAAATATACCAATACTTCAAATTTCATGAGATGCAGTTGCATCAGATAACAAAACATCAATACTCATCCATTTCAGGGCATTTCGTAGCCGTTTCTCGGGCGACATTTTATGGCGAGTAACTTCGGATGCCAATTTACAATGAATCGCCTCAATAACTTCCTCAGCAACAGCGCCCACCATTTTATGCTCGAATAAGAAAGCTCCGAGGTGCATTATCATACAATGAATAAGTGAACTATTTGCGAAACCTCCCAGGTCCCATGAATTCGAATGAACCTTTTTACAGGCTATTGCGGCAACTTCTGTATCCGTCATATTAAGTTTTGTGTTTGATACCATTTGTGCCCATTTGTTGAAAACAGCAAGTACTTCCATTATCTTCTGATACTCCGGATCAAGAGAGAGGTTCGAAAGCTCCGCAATAGCTGCACATAATCCCTTGATGTCATTGCCGTGGAAGCGACTATAAACAACACCCTCTTCTTTTCGATTCACATTTAGATTCCACTTGTTGCAGACGCTTTTGAAAACCGAATTAACTTGAAGTCTGGTCAGCCTTTCAAAAAGAGCATTTCCTATTTTAATCTTCGCATGCAAGATAGGTGGAGCCACAAGATTTCTTGGGACGTCGATCAAATCGTCTTTTTTAGGCACAAATTTACTTTTCGAGATCTTTGCTTCCACTTCAGGTGTCCCTCTTTCACCATATATTTTCAAATCCAAATGCTTGTTTGACTCGCTTTGTTTTCCTCTCTCAAATGTTTTCCTCTCACACCAAAGACAGCCGTAAGACATAGCACATGAAATTCCATAATTAGTCGATAAAAAAGTTACTCGCCATAAAATGTCGCCCGAGAAACGGCTACGAAATGCCCTGAAATGGATGAGTATTGATGTTTTGTTATCTGATGCAACTGCATCTCATGAAATTTGAAGTATTGGTATATTTATTTGTTTTTGTTTGAATTTTGTTTGTTGTTTTTTGTTCTTTTGAATTTAGCTGTTTAAATCAAATTTAGATTCGGCCCTTTCACGGACCTTTTCGATCAACGGTGCTGGCCATGGAGTTCATCAACTTTGATACGCCATATCTACAGAAGTACTCGACAGAACCCATAAGTGTTATATATATTCTGAAAGCTCAGGTTGAGCTCTACACGATGGTATCAGTTTTTCTCTTACCTTTTCTATTTTATTCAGGGTTTTGCCCTTCTGAACACCAAAGTTGAAACCTAGAAATTTTCAAAGTCACTTTTCATCGCAATACCGTCGTCAAATCGTGCTGAAAGTGTGTTTTTTTGGAATCTACGCAAAAAATTGGCCCAGGAAAGTGGAATTTGAATAATTGCAACTGGGATATCTTAGGAGAATTGATTAGGTCAAAAGACAAAATTTCTCGACCTATCAACAAAAAATTGACAAGTCGAAATCGATTTTTTTTGCATTTTTTCTCTTAGTTGGACATCATTTAAGAATTGTTAGTGCTTAGATTTTTGATTTGAAGACAAAAATTTTTGTACTCGTGGTGGGGGCCGGGGGGGGGGCTACTATTGCAGGTACAACGGTAGTTTTGAAGTCTTTGTTTTTTCCCAATAATTTACCGTAAATTCTTTATTAGAACGGCACTCTCTAATAGAGCGGCACTTCCTAATGTTAATTTTGACAGCTCCCAGATCCAACTTTTTCCAAAAGAATTTTCTGCGAAAATGCTTAAAATGATGCATATGGGTCCTAATTATAATTTAAAAGTGAGCAGTAAAATTCAAATTGATCCTGGAAAAAATTTTGACTGAACACTTTTTGAGAAAAAAATCATAAGGGGGGACCACAGGGATTTTCGAAAATCGGACATCCGGTAGAACCATGGACATAACTTTTTGTTTTAAATGTGTTTTTTGTATGTTTTAGACCAAAAGGAAACGATTTAGAGTGATTTAAGCAAAAATAATTTTTTTTTCAACAATATGGTACCCCCTTATGTGATTTTTTGGGAATCCGAAAAATGGGCACCGGACAATAGAGGATGTAAATCCATTTTGCAGATTAAAGCCGGTGTCAACTCATGCAAGATCGAATCAATGGTGATGGCACAAACAAAAAATTGCTTAAAGACGAAAACCAAGTAAAGAAAAAATAGTAATTATTTGTATACTTTTATGCTCAAATTAACATAAACGCTGGATTTTCTGGTGTACTAAATTTCTTATGAAATTTTATTTCACAGGAGCCAATCCAATCTGTAAACTCTGATAGTTGATCGCCACACAGAAATATCGTTGAATATAATATGGAAGTGAATAAATGAATGGTAGAGATCCTTGAGCCTCGATATTGATATAGCAATCGTCGTAGATTTGAGTCTAAACATTTCTTTCCACACTTCAACTTCATCTTTCGCGTTGAATTTAACCTTATACGACAAATCAATAGATAAAATATTGGGTTGGTGAATTGAAAACGTATTTAAACTGATTCACTCTGGCTATGTATTGGGTTGGGAATTTTCGAATAAATCGGCGAAAATGAGCAAAAATGAGCCTTGATTATCGACAGCTTATCGATCGTTATCGGTAAGGTTCGCTTCACTTAAGGCTTTATAGTTGGTGAATTGGTTGGTGAATTGAAAACTGCAGGCTATTGTCATATGTGACAGTTTGAGCACTTTCTTCAAAGAGACCCATTTTGGTGTCAACGGAAAAGTTGTAGAGAATCAAAAATCAAGCTTATATCCAAATTTCCAGAACGATTCAAAAACTGGTTTTCAAGAAATGCGAAATTTACGAATTTTCACAAAACTTGCATTTTAAGCGAAACTACTAAGTGTATCTTTTTGGAAATTTGGCTATAAGCCTCATTTTTGATCCTCTACAACTTTTCTATTGACACCAAAATGGGTTTCTTTTGAAGAAAGTGCTCAAACTGGGATGACTCCAGTCCTCCATTTTTGAGTCTCACACTTGTCTCACACACAAACGAAAATCCTATTAAGAAAGAGGAATTGCCTGTAAAATGGGCAGAAGTCGTCAATAATAGTGGAAATTATTTGGAATGAATTTATGGTTTTATGTTGAATAAAATTTAGTTCAAAGTCCCGCAGTTTTCACCAACCCAATAAAAGAGGAAATCTGTTAGAGAATTTACTTTTTATCTAAATAATAACTAATAACATGTTGCAAAACTGACTAGCTCTAAAATAAAGAGCCTTAGTTGGGAACTTTACATCCCCATACAGTCCGGACCTCGCCCCTTCTGATTACGATTTATTTCCGGACCATGAGTAATGAGCTTTCGGGGAACACTTCGATCCGGAAGAAGCAGTCAAAAATTCGCTTTGAAAGTTTTCGATTCAAAACCAAAATCCTACTACGAAAGAGGAATCCGCAAATTGCCTGTAAAATGGGCAGAAGTCGTCAATAATAATGGAAATTATTTCGAATGAATTCATAGTTTTATGTTGAATAAATTTTAGTTCAAAGTTCCGCAGTTTTCAATTCACCAACCCAATAGATAGATAAAAAGAAAGAAAATCGATTAAGAGTTTCGTTTTCTTCTTTTCCACTTACCACATAATAATCTTGTTGAACGGTGATCGGATTTCCTTCGATGAAAAACGTGATTGGAGGCAATTTTGGAAAAGTTGAACAAGGCATTGAGTACTGTAACGAAAGATGTTAGATATTAAAGATATCGAATTTACCATTCCCCTCAAATCATCATAAACAAAATTGCCATAGTTGAGAAGGTTTTGTATCAGAGAAAATGGAGCGGAAAAGGCGGCATCGGTCAAATAAATGTCCCCGTAGCCGGGCTGGGGAATTGATTGATTTCCGACAGAAGCTCTGAATTGGGGGTGTTTATTTTGTGCTCAAACTGTAAAATGATGTCTTCATTTTGCTGTGTTAAAGGCAATGGTGAACCCGTTAGCTAAGCATGCTCGATCAGGAATGTCAAAGCAATTCAAGCCACGTCAGACGAGAATTCAGTCCTGACTTGACTGTAAGTCTGGTCCATAAAATACCTCTGGTATTTTGTGGACCAGACTGGTCCATAAAATACCAGCCCTGGTTCTGGTCCCACCCAGAACCAGGGCTGAATCTGGCTCTGATTTGACAATGCCCGGCCGTTCAAACAGCATCACACTTCAATATAGTATTGAATAGTATAGAATACTATTCCGTAATATCCAGAAGACCTTTCGTTTCTTTTACTACTTCCGTTGAAAAATAACAAATCCATCAATTAACCTATGATTTGCTCTAAATACCGTATTTTCTCTAATAGTAGTGCACGTTGAGCGTTGCCTAAATTCCCTCGAAATCTCAAAAACCGCTTATCAGAACCTATCGATGTGGGGAAAATGTAGCTGACGATGAGATCTAGTGGGGGATTTGAGTGTTGAGCTTCTGCAAAAGCTTAGAAACCGTAAAATAGTCATCAACTCGACTCGGCGAGGTGCACAACTACTAGAGAGAATACGGTAAAGTGTTTATTGTTCAATTTTCGTCAATTTCCGTTCACTTTCAAGCAAATTCGAGAATGAAAACCGTGTTTTTCGTCAAAATCTATCAAAAACCTCTACGAAGAAATTGGCTGAATGAATTTCTCTGAAAATTTGGCTATATACCAAACTTTTTGTGCTCTATCTTTTATCTATTGACACAAAGATCGGTTTCCTTAGCTAAAGTGTCTAAACCGCATCATCGAGCCGACTTTTTGACTACTCGACTAAATGCTCTCAAAAAATTCAGACATAAACAATTTTGAAATCCGTTTTAATGTTCTTTTTCAGAAAAATGATAGGCCTTTCTAATGAAACCTTTCTAATACATTCAAACCGTCGTTTAATTGATGCATTTATTGATTTTAAACGAAAGTACGAACAGGAATGAAACGATTTTCTAGAAAAGCTTAATAATATTCACTTACCAACTTTCGAATTGACTTTAATTTAATTAATTAACTTAATTTCATTACATTAATTTTTACGAATTAAACCTAAAAAACATACCCAGTAAACCAGAGATTCCATCCGGATTCCCCATACGAATCATACCATTTGAAATTCCCACAATTTTTCGTGTCCACTCCTCCCCATGTCATCGATCCCATCTCAACGTCGGCTGTGCTGAAATTTTTCGATCCAAATATCATCACCAAAAGCATACAAGTTTCGAATGTTATATGTGAGAATCGCTTGATCGAGATATTGATTCATTTCTTTTACCGGTGACACCATTGTTCCCTAAAATAAGATTAATGGCTCGTAAAATCTTGAAATTTCCTCTCAAAACGCACATTTGCCAACCGTCCCATGAAAAGATTGCAATTCCCGTGAACCAATCGTTTTTTCACTTTATTCGACGAGCCATAGTTGAGAAATTTGAAGCGATAATTGGGTAGCGGTACGTTTGAGATGTAGATTGTATCTCTGAAAAGAAAAGAAAAGAAATCTATTGCTTCGATAATTATTGATTCGTTGGCGTTAATGAAGCTACCGTAAATACTGTAATAGTACCCCACCCCCATAATGACGGTGCGGAGTGTTGCGTAGTCTAGCTTTGGACGAGTTTTCTCGACACTGGTTTATGCTACAATGCGCGCTTAGGTATCAAAAAATAGCTGAGATTCAGGGCTATTTTTTGATACCAAAGACGCATTTTTTTGAAAGTACGGGCGCTTTGAAAAAAATGAAATAATGAAATACTTTTGTGACTACGCGACTGTACGAGGGCGGTGGGGTACTATTGCAGTATTTACGGTATGTTACCGTTCCGTTTACTAGTATTTTATAGTTTACCAAGGTACTTCTTTAGCTTAACTTTTTACTGACTTTGGTTTTCAGCAAAAATCTGTTTTTAAACATTGATATCAATCTTCAATTAGCAATTATTAATCTTCAACTTCAAGGGCGGTGGGGTACTATTGCAGTATTTACGGTAATTTGAAGCTAATTTTATATCAAAGTTGGCTACTTAAAAGCAATGATTGCTTGTTCGCACGAGAACTTTTTAAGTCAAACGCCAAAACTTGTTTTTCTAATATTTAACCCAGTATCAAAGTTATTTGATAGTTGTAAAAAGCTTCTATTAAAGTTAAAATTTTTTTATTTATTCTAGTACTTGCTTAAGCTAAAAACTATAGAACAAAATCTATAAAAACGGTTTTAAAAAAAACCGACTCCATCAGCGTGAAATCGTTGTTATCGGTGAGCGTGATGTTCTTAGCAGTGATCGACTTTCTGAAAATAAAACCAAAGTAAAATAATAAAAAAAACTCATAGTTATAGCCTAAAACACTAAAACAAAACAAAAAATCTCAAAAACCGAACGTTGGATCGTATCCATCAACGATGATCATCCCGTAGAACTCGACATTCAAATACTCACAGTAAATCAATTGCCCTGCAATTTTAGACGTATAACTCTTTATATTTTTAGGTACAATCTACAGTATTTTGTTTATATATTTCTAAAATCCCTCACTAGGTGTTCCGATTTTGATCTCGATGCCCGGATAGCGAGAGGTGTTGACGATTGGAACCTCATAAATGCTAGAAAATTTTGGTTTTTCATAAAATAAATATGGTAGACCTAGCAGAAGTTAAACTAAATATAGCCAGAAAAATTGAAATAGCAAGCATTTTTCTGAAAATTCTTATCGCAAAGATGGGTGAATCGATTTTGAAGAGAAATGAGCTTTGATCAGGAAAAAGATGTCATGCAAACCAGAGTTTTGAATGTGAAAAAGGGAAAACTTAAATTTTTTTCTTTAAAAGTTTCAGAAATCACTTTTTGCATCGAAAATCCATCTAACATATTTTGCTTCCAGAAAATGGGAGTTGAGATTGTAACACCGATAATTGGAATCTTGGTCTTGGTTTTCGTCTTGGCGACTCGCTTGATTTGTGCGACGATAAAAAAATTTAATAACAAGCTTTTAAAAAATTTCACATTCACAAGGTAAAAAAATATCACACTCACACCAACGATGACTACATTTTGCGTGAATAAAAAACAAGGGAGAAACCTAGGGACATCAAAAAAGAGCAGATCGTCAAAAGTCATTTTCGTTGAGGAGACAAAAAAAACTCAATTTCATCAAAAACACTAAAAGTGCGGGGAATTCGTATTATCTAAATGCAAACCAAAGCTTGTTTTTCTCAAAAACTACGAATTTTGTGAATCGGGCTAACTATAAACCCGAAATTTCCAATATGAATCCCTACTCAGTCACAAAATTGAAAGAAGTACCAACTAAATTTCATGTAATCCTTAAGTCAAAAATCTATGTAAGGAGGCAAGAAAACCTGTATGTGGAAAAAGAAGGCTGTAGGAAGAAAATACCCTAATTACAACGTGAACTACGATACTCGAAAGTTTTTGAAGATAAAAGCTTGATACTTTCTTGTCGTTTATTCTGTTTTCTTCTCGACCTTCTCTGACTTCTTGAGTGGAAGTTTTCTCTGAAAAACGAAACATTAATAAAAGCTTCAGCTCAAAGTTTAACAAATAAGTTTATTATAAAATACATCGTACTTACTTTGAGAACCTGGAAAAGGATTGGCCATGCAACAAAGTAGAGAATGTATCCAATACCGTAGAGCGAGAAGAGAGGCTAAAACAAGGAAATTTCGAAATGACATATCCTGTGTTTATATTCGGCTATTTTATAAGGATCTTTGAGTCAAAAGTGCAACCTTTTTCAAATTTCAGAAGTAGCAATACACGTTTTTGCACTAGAGTTATTTTTAAAACCTCACCTTGTACCAAAGTCTCGTCTTGATGAGTCCGAAGGTGAGAAAGGCGAAACCCATTGAGTAAGAGATGATCATCTTTCCGGTAAGCCAGCAAATCGGTCGCATCCATGTCTAAACCTCACAAATTGTTAGAATTAAACGAAAATCAAACCTGTTGGTTAAACTCTTTCCACCCGGGTACCCGATCGATCAAGGTAAAGCTAAAATGTAACTACATTCATCAGGTAAAGTTTAAAAATACCTGTTCTTGGGCAATCATACAAGAGAACTCAAAGATGAACAACAGAAGAAGTAGCCGAGATGATACCCATGCCATACCGCTAAGTACATCAGCACCGAGAGATGGGCCAGTGGCTTGCTATTTAACCATCGTGGACGTCGGAAAATGTGACTAAAGAAAGAAAAATGTAGACTGGTTGGCTGAACCAATTATAAGTTTTAATCAGGTACTCGTACTTTAAACGTTTTCTGAATATCTGGAAGAATTTCTGTTTTGGATAATTGCTATTATAAACGCTTTTGCTTAAATAGCATTGTTATTCAAATCCAAAGTCACCAACTTCTTGGCAAATGTATTTGTTCCACAGTTGAACGAGAGCACCACCGAATTGTAGTCGTGGGTGAATTCCCATCGAGAAATGTGAATATCACCTTGGACACCATCCCATCTAAAAGCTTTGATTGCTAGGAGACTTTTGAAATCACTCCACTTATGCTTCTCCTTTCTCGTCCTTTCCGTTGTAAGCAATGGCGTCCAAGATAGCCCCTCCTTCCTAAAATATAAATGTTTAATGAAAAGTTTTGCAAATACGATTTTTATTTAAGAAAGTCACTCACCGGAGCAGCAACCAAGCCGCACAGTATCGATGCATCGATCAAGCGGAACCAAATCACTGCCCATGTCCAACGCCAGAAGAAGAAGCATTCTAAAGAAGAAAGTAAAGTACCAAGTTATGTAACTTGAGGATTATCTATGCTATTTTTGAAACGTTTAGGTCCTTACAAAGTAAGCCTCCGAATTGAAATAACTGTCCGGAATCCAAACTGCGCCCCATTGATTAATCACCATGTAGAATACACCGGCAGCCAAGCGTCCAAGCGAGGGCATCAAACTAAAAAAGTAAAAGCGGTACTTCTGATGCAACAAAGATATCAAAAAAATAATCCCATACTCACCCGCTAGACCGAACTTGTTTTGCTCATCAAGAAAATCTCCGTTGACAAAGGCGCGGAAGCGAGCAAGTGAGAATTGAGGTCCAACCAAAGTTCCTGTGAAGAAGAGACCTAAGCAAAAAATTATAATTTGTTCAATTTCTTTAATACTTACCAAAAGCAGCTGTCTCAAGAAGGCTCGGTGGGTCACGAATTGCTGTGAGCTTTTGGTCAGCTTTTAAAGAGTCCTAAAATAACAAAAAATAATAAATTTTTTAATTTCGGTTGTTAGATAAAGTTCTAATGCTTTTAAAAGCAAATTTAAATCTTTCCATTATAACAATAGCATCAAAACTTACATAATGTTGTCCATCATACACATCCATCACAAGTCCGATAAATCGTAGACACATTATGCAGAACGGAGTCGTCCACGTGATATCGTAGGTGTCCGTTTCGGCAAACCAATATCCAACGAGTAGATGGCCCTAGAATGAAAATATCAATCGTTAGAAATGAACCGAAACCTACCAAAAATGCGATGTGTGCCGCGCAAACAGCCTCATTTTTGCCGCGCAGGAAATTCGTAATCACGTAGGCAAGAAGGATTGAGATGAGACTGTGATAGATGGTGAATCCTGAAAATAACCTTTGTCATGGGTTAAATTTGAGCCTTATCTGTAATTTAGATTTGCTTTAAATGAAATAAATCCAAATAACTTACCATAATTGAAGAAATAAAGGACAATGCCACAAGCGACAAAGAAGGCGTGTTGTATTTGAGGATCTTTCTTGTAGAAAAAAACAACGATGAGCCATCGATAGAGGATACCTAAAGAAAAAAAAAGTTATGATTAATCTTTTAAATTTAAAAAATCTAACTTTCCTAGTTTTAACAATTCCAAGTTTCCATCAATAAATAAACTCAAAGGCACAGTTTAATACAATTTAAAACCTCTTTTGAAACTGATAAATTTAAAAAAACTAACCCAGCCAGCACAGTCAAAAGTAATCGGACACCATCCTCGCGGGCACCCACCCCATCAGCCACCATTGAAACGATCCCCATCGATTCGAGGAGGGTCTAAAAAAAAAAAAAAAAGGCTATCACAGTATAAAGTCAAGAATTTAACACACAACAAAACGGAAAGCGGGAAAGTCAATTTGTGCAATTTGTACTCGATTTTTGAGATTACTTTAATCTACAACTACTACAACTACTACAAATCTAGTCTAATCTATTCTAACAACACAAATCGTCGAGATCAATTTAGCAGAGTTCTGGAACAAAATAATGAAAATGACGACTACACGTCACAACAAATGACGCTTGTCAATCAACGATTAGTGCACTTTGGGGCACAGTTTTGTGGGAAGTTATTCCTAAAGGTAAATTGGGAATTTTTCATATCCATATGCATAGAATCAGCTAACTTTTAAGACAAATACTAAAACGCCTTGAGAATCGAGGGGTAGAAATTGGACATCTTTATGGGATCGACTTTACAAATAAAGGCTTCTTTGAGTCATTGGGTTTGTTAGAAAATGTACAGTATATCTAAAGTAATCAAAACAAAAGAACAAAGATATTCTTTTGTTTAAACCTCAAAAAGCAGGGTCTAGGATCGCTGTGGGGGGATTCATTTCAAGTGATAACCCACTAACTACGGACCATTGCTTATAGAAAAAGATTTGGGGAAAATTATATAGCTAGATGTATCTCCGTCTGCCAGAAAGTGAATGAATGAGTCATTGAGAGAATGGAGAGAACGCACAAGTCTTGTGCAATTCGTTCAAAAGGGGAAAACAAACGGCGTTCTTTGTGTTCTCTCTCAATCGCGCGACTCTCTGGCAAATGGGAAAAGTGAGGCATATAAGTGATGAAAGAAGTCAAGTAAAGGCTGATCCAGGGTTGGCGGGTTACCAGACATGAAGAATTTATCCGTCAACACTGACTTGACTATGCTTTTGCTTTTGCAAAGATCTAATTAGATTTGTGATTTTGGTACTTCAAAACACGTCAAAATTTCTATAACTTTCTATAGCTGATATTAAAAACAAATGTAAATGAATTGAATAAAAGTTAAAGGTAGTTTTTGAAAGTTAACACGTTTTAGAAAAGGCTTTTAAGGGATGCATCGTATTGTTGAATCTACAGTAAGGCAACCCAAGAAAATGTAGTACTAATTATAAGATTACGGTAGTTTTGCCACATTACAAACATTACCAAACTATTTTTTTGTATAAAACCGTAAGATTTGCAAATTTCAGGACTCCAACGGCATTCGATGGATCGATTTATGCGGCACAATCGGTCTATCCATCATCTCGAGTTTCCACTTCAACTTCAACACGATTGTAATCGTCAAATTGTTTTCAAATCTCTAGGAGCCGGTGGAGCACAACAGCGGCAACAGCAGGAGTGGAGAAATGCAGGAAGAGGACAAATGGGCGGTGGGGGATGGGGATTCAATTCGTGGGGAAGGAGGAGGAGGTGAGTGCAATTGATTGTATGGAGTGAGTCTCACAAATGAGAGCTTCTTTACGCCTACAGTATTGAGGTTTGTTGTGAAAGTATGGTAATCAAGCAATCAAAATAAAAGATATTCTGTTCAAACCCCAAAAGCAGGGTCTAGGATCGCTGTGAGGATTCATTTCAAGTGATAACCCACTAACTACGGACCGCTGCTTATAGAAAAGATTTGGAGAAAATTATCTGGCTGGCTGTATCTCCGTCTGCCAGAAGTGAATGAATGAGTCATTGAGAGGAATGAAGAGAAGACACAAGTCTTGTGCAATTCGTTCCAAAGGGGAAAACAAACTAGCGTTCTTTGTGTTCTCTCTCCAATCGCGCACTCTCTGGCGAAGGAGGAAGAGTGGGGATGCAAGTGATGATAAGAGGTGGAGCAAGGAAGCAATGGTCCGGAGTTGGCGGGTTATCAAACGGAAGAAAAAATTTATCCGCGTCAACACTCACTTGGCTAATGACTTTTGCTTTTTGCAGCGACATTCAACTATGAAAAGGGCAATGACCGATTGAAGCTACCGAAGAGGGAAGTCCCTCGAGGTCTCAGAAAAACCATGAAGTCCTTCGACTGAATATGCTTTAAGAATTCACTGAGTGATTAACTTTGACGCCCGACTTGACGAGGTTGACCGGGAGTTTGGTCCCTGGAAATTTTACATTATTTAAATATTAGGTTAGCAACTTAATAATGACGCGTTTATGTAACAAATCATTTATTTCAAAAAAAAACAAGAAGAGCTTGCGTTTCGAAGTAGTCTCCATTAGTATCTCTGACTCCTTCCCATCTTCTGCACAAATCCCGGATCCCATCCTCGAAGAACTTGGGGAGTTTTTGAGGCGAAATAGTCGATTCACTGCTTTATGACCTGAACACCATGATCATCGAGAACTTTTTCTCCCTCCAAGGAGTGCTTCACCGGCCGAAACAAAAGTAATCTGGAAGGAGCCAGATCGAATTGAATAAGACGCGTGGGGCAAAACTTTCCAGCCAAGTTCCTCGATTTTCTTATAAGTGATCTTTGCAGTCTGAGGTTTTGCTGGGTATCGTGTAAAAATCCTGACTCTCTCCAGTTTGAGCTCCAATTTCTTCAGAGACTCGTTAACTCTCATTAATTGCTTCCGAATAAAGATCAGCATCGACGGTTTGGCCAGGTTTCAGCAGTTCATAATGTACCAATCCCCTGAAGTTCCACCAGCAACAGAGCATTATCTTCTTCCCATGGACATCAGATTTGGGAATTGGTTTGAGGGGTCATGCTTAGCAGGTGCCATCGATTTTTGCGTTTAACGTTCTCGTAGTTGATCCACGTTTCGTCAGAAGTCAGGAAACCCTGTGAAAAAGTCGTTTGATTTGTATTTTTGTAGCAAAATTGAGGCGACATTTTGTTGCTCTGGGTCAGCTCGTGAGGAGCCCATTTTCCGACTCGATTCTTTTTCGGATTTGTGTAAATAGTTTTTGATTGTCATATGGGATCTCTTCAAATATTTCTGCCAACTCACGAACGGTGAGTGTTGGGCAATCTTCAATTAAGGCGAACAAGTCATCGTCGACCACTTCTGGAGGATGTCCTTGGTGTGGCTCGTCTACGAGGTTTTCATCGCCGCCTTGGAATCTTTGAAACCATCGTTGACGTTGACGAATGTGTATACTTTCCTCTCGAAAAGCAGTGATGATCGTGCGATGAGATTCAGCTGGTGATTTTCCTTGATTCTAAAATCGTAGAACAATCGGCTAGAACAATGCGGAATTTTTTGTCCTCCTTTTTTGCCAAAAAGCAAATGATGAAATTTAGAACACTAAATGTTATTTATGTAGACATCTTTTACTTCATATATATGCAAAAAAGGGAAGAAACGGCGCTTGAAATTACAAAAAACATGTTAAGTATTGACGCGTCATTATTAAGTTGCCAACCTAATAGAATTTTCTAAGGAATCGAATGGTACTTACCGTTTATTGGTTGAAGCCATTCTTCGACTTCATCCTAAGCTTCCTCCCAGCTTCATCCCATCCAAGATGAAATTGGGATGAAGCTGGGAGCAAGCAAGGGATGAAGTGGAAAAATGGCTTCAACCAATAAAAGATGAAAGGACGATTCAATTCATGAAAAGATTCTATTTAAATAATAAAGAACTTCCAGGGACCAAGCTCCCGGTCAGCCTCGTCAAGTCGGGCGTCAAAGTTGATCACTCAGTGAATTCTTAAAGAAAAATATTCAGTCGAAGGACTTCATGGTTTTTTCTGAGACCTCGAGAGACCTCTTCCTTCAGCAGTAGAGCTACAGCGTAGCCACTATTCAACATCTAAAGGAAATAGAACTATTGTCAACTTATCAAATGATTCAATTGCTCCAACTATTCCTCAATTCTTATTACCTTTTTAAACTGTTTACAATCATTCTTACTTCATAAATTTGAAGATCAACTTTAACAAGAAAAAAATTGAACCTAAAAATCAAAGTTCGGTGACAACAAGCTGATTTAACGATTTGAAGGGCTGATTTAACGTAAATGTGGCTATGTTTAAGTTAAATCATAACTTGTAAATAATGGCTACATTTACGTTACAATCAAACAATAATGAATCACAATATTTTGCAC